TAAGTAGATGAGTGTCTTTGTCTAAAAAACCAACTCTAACCGAGACAGACAGGCCTTGTTCAGGAGACAAAACGGGGAACACAAGAGGGGACAAAAGAGGGGACAAAAGAGGGTCCAGAAAATATCTTGCTCCCGTATGTGATTTGCGAAAGTGGGTTCATGACGGTGTGGTGGACAGCGCCTTGTTTTGAACCGTCGGCCTGCGGGTCCGTTACTCTGACGTTATGGTCACTGAACTAGTGCTGGACATATATTCGTCGAGTATTATTCACGACCCACAAAACGCGCGGAAACCAGATTTCATTCTCGCGACCATTTCGTCCTCTCTAACGGCGGCCATAACGAAGGCGGGTCTTGACCTGGAGGTATACTGGAGAGCAGTCGGAGATCTACCTGCATTTCCAAGAAAATAGCCCAGATTACAGGACGACACCGGGTTGCAGGACGATATCGAGTGGGAGAAGACAGTCTATAATGGACCAAAAACATTTTTAATTGATTGTATTGTCATGGTGCAGCAACGTCAACGATGTGACAGACCCCCAAGTCGTTGTCCTTGTTGGAAAATTCCGACAACCTGGTCAATCAAAAAAAACTACCACCATCAGCCGAAGGCCATACTTACTTACACCTCATCATACTGACACCTCATCATACTGACACCTCACCATACTGACTGACACCAGTACATCAAGCTTATTGACAACCTTATTATCGATCGTAAGCCGGACTTTTATTATTGTCAAATACGCAAACCTTAATATTCAATTCTCTGTAAAAAAGAGGCACCATGCTTCGAATTGCCAAGTGAAGGTGCTGGAGTAATGCCCTAGCGCACGACAGAGCACCCAAACTTCGAAGACACCAAATATTCCTACCTTCCCATTTTGCCCTTGTCCGGACGACGTATTGTCTAAACATGAGTAGAAGCTCAACCTTCACCTATTTATTGCCTCTGCCTTCACCCCTGAGTTAGGTCTCGAACGCCTTCGCTCGAATTCCTTACTGGAACATTTCC